GCCTGGTGCCGGTCATTTCACCTCTCTCTGCACTAAGCCTCGCGGAGGGTGTGTGGGGCTGCTGTGCGTGCTTCCGTCAGGCTGTGCAAACACATCTGCAGTCTACACACCCTGCTGAGTTTTGTATTATCGCAAATATTTTTTGAGTTTTGAATTTATTTCTACAAACCTACACATCTCCCATAATAAATGTCTACCACTTGAGCTACTAATGGTGAAACATAACAAGGAGCACTCAGAGTGGGCCTGCAGGAGGAGGTCCTGAAAACCTATCACCAGAAATAGCCCCAGGAGCAACAAGATTCACAAATCAGAATGTGCTCCCTTTGAGTTACACAATTTAATCATAAAACCCAGTGTGAGGTAGGTAGATGCACATACTGTTCCATTTCAAAGGAAAACAGTTTAATGGAGTTACCTGTTGAGGTCTCAAAAACTTATGTGAACTATACTTAACATTTGAGGAGGCTGTACAGGGAAATGACTCCTATATTTTGTTATTTTTGGTCCTAGCAAATGTTAAGAAAGAATCTTTGGCAAGGTAAGTCTTATTTCATTTTGAGAGACACAGTTAGTGTGAGGACCTGCTTAAGTTGAGCATACCCAAAGCTGGGATTAAACACAAAAGGACAAGCTGGGGACCTGGGAGGGCAGGGCCACAATCAGGCTTGGCTTGAAGGTCTGAGTGTGTCCTGCGAAGAAACTCACTGTGCATGAGGAAGCAGGTACACAGGGCAGACCCAGTTCCAGAGTCTCGTGGTCCAACGTGTCCACGTCCCAGGCCTGGGGCAGGCGTCTGCCTCAATGGCACAGTGTAAACCAGAGGCACCGTCAGCTCCATAAGGTTCCTGGCACAGACAACTGCGTGGCATGTAAGAGAGTGTGTCACAGAGTGTGGGGGGAGGGCGGTCCCTGTTACTAAGTCTCAGCACCCAGCAAGGGTGTCTGAAGTGCCCAGGTCCAGCAGGACAATGGAAAGCTTCCAGGGAGCCAAGAGACCCCAGAAACAGAGGCTGCTTATGACAGCCCTTAGCACATGCGAGACCCCAGAAACTCCTAGGGGATGGACATCCACTTCAATGGGGTTTTTAACATTAGAATAATCTCTCATTTTGACGTGGTGCCTGTGGCTCAAGGAGTAGCGCACCAGCCCCATATACTGGAGGCAGTGGGTTCAAAACCGGCCCTGGCCAAAAAAAAAAAAAAAAAAATAATTTCTCATTTTGAAAAAGCCTGGCAAAGCCTGTGGAGCTTGGGATTTTCAGATGAGAGGGCTGTAAGTTATCACCAAACTGCAGAGTTTATTTCCCATCAAGGTGATGGTGCAATCATCTGCCCTGGTCCCCTACATACTCTCCTGCCCTGCTCATCAATGACATGAACACACAGGCAGGGAGTGGGGGTATTGGGGTGGTGGGGAGCGATGAAACCAGGAAGGCACTTTGTAGATAAGAAACTGTGTATTTTTTGTGGCTAAACTTGAACAAAGAATATCGGTATCATTAGTGCTAGGGTCATGACCAACTCATGTAAACAAACATCGTAGGACACAGCACTGTGTGCCACTGTCATTGAGACTTGTGCCTGTGATTTCTTTGCCATGGCTTGTAGGGTCTAGTTTCACTTAAACACTCAACATAGGGAGTTAAAGTATAAAAGTGAAGTAAACATGTACTTTAACTTTGTGCTCATTTTAAACTTGATTTAGATCCATTTCCAGCAATGAAAGGAAAACTGGTCTGTCACGTGTGTGAGCCTCATGGGCTTTGGACTCCTCTTTAATCAAATCAGCCTCACTGTTTAAATAGTTTTTATTAATATACAATGAAATACTTCTTAAATGACTTAACACAAGGACCTAGAGACACCATCACAATTTCACTGTTATGAAGGTAAAGGCCCATGTGTGTCATTACCAGCTGAAATTCATCACCATGTGGACATTCAGGGGCTGTAGGTGTCACCAAGGAAGCTAGACAGCCACCGGCCTTTTTATTCTGGTCTTATTAAGGGAAATACTTTTTTTTAGTGAGATTATAAGCATGGGCTTCTAAATAGCTTCCTAGGACTCTGAACTTTTGCTCTCAATACCAAATAATATCTGAAAAACATGCTCACTTTTGTGCTTTCTGAGAAATTCTAAGAACTGGCCCAGATTCATGTGATAATCATTCCTCAGGCCGTAGTCCCCGTGGGCCTCAAGGAGCAGCTCCTCGAAGGCCTGGAAGAGGCGCAGGTCGTGGCCATCGCCCTCCGTGTCCATGCTCTCGGCGTGCTTGCAGGAGATGTGCTTCCAGTTGGGGTAGCGGATCGTGTGCCAGAACTCCTCACACTGCCCCTTGAGCCCCTCCACGCAGATGATGCCCGGCTTCCCCGTCATGCAGAACCCCGTCACGTCCAGCCGCTTGCCCACTTCCAGGATCTTCTTCCTCAGGTCCTGCTGGTAGATGTGGTGGCTGTAGATCCACATCCGGAGGAACGTGCTCTTCACCGGCTTGGCCTGCGCGGACGGCTCGTAGGCCAGCTTCCTGCTCAGGAAGTAGGACTCGCAGTTGTCCTGTAGCCACTGGATTGCTGCGCACACACAGAGCTCTCCGGGGTCAAAAGTCCCTATGTAAGAAGTAAGACCTTTGTTGAGAAGTAGCTGCTGATGTCTGTCAAGCTCAGGCGACCGTCCAAACAGCTGCAATGCTACATAGGGGTAGCTGTGAGGCATGGTTACTTGCAAATCAATTTTCACCTTAAAATGAAAATCAGATAGATTTAAATGCCACATAAGCTAGTGTATCAATGGCAACTGCATGGTTCTGAGACAGGAGCTAGTGACTGTTGTTGTGTCAGCCCCATGCACAGTCCTCTCCATACACTATCGGCCCACTTACGCATTCCTTCTAATTACTCAACAACTGCGCGAGCCAGGTGCCCTGTGCTGGAAGAAAGTGAAGAATCCAGACTCTGTTTCTGCCCTTTATGAACTCTAGGGCCTAGTGAAGGAGACACACAGTAAACAAATAATTACACGTAGCAAGGATTTAATTTCAATTGTGAGAAGCATTACTATGGAAAAGTTGAGGGTTCCATTGAAGTGTGTTACCAGTGGGACAGAATCCAGTCTGGGGAACCAGAAGTCTCCTTTGAGGGAATGAATGAAACTGAAGGACAAGCAGAAGAGCCACCACATGGTCCTCCCTTCCCCCTAAGCCGTCCACCTGTTACCTACACTACACTGACATTACTGGGGATAAACAGATAAGATGAAGGTGAATTTGTTTTTTCTTTTCAGATTTTATATCTGTATTTGCTTTCTGTGTTATGGTACCATCAAAAAGAGATTCACTTACTTCTTAAAAGCCAGTTTTGTTACGGGCAATTTTTAGGTTTGTGAAAGTCACGACATATGTCAGAGGTTGTATATACTAATACGGGGGGTTGGTAAGAAACCGGGTGAACAAAATGCTCATGGCAGTGTAAGATTACAAGGTAGTTTCACGTTAAAAAAGCTAGGCATCTTGTTTTAAAAGGTTGTATATTTATATTTAATTCAGGCTATTTACAGAGGACAACTTATAGAATAACCTATATATTTTATATTTTGCTTTTAAACAAGTAAAAAGATATTCTATGCACATAGAATATGTCTGTTTCTTAGACAGGAAGCTCATGTTCTGGGTGTTTCACTTATAAACTGGGCACCTAGCAACAGTTAAAACAAATCCAGGCACCCACCTTGGGCTCCTCAATCTGGAGTGTAATCACAAACTCGATTTTTGGTGGCAGCGCCTCCCTGGTGCCTTCCAAATACCTCTTTATGTTCGTCAGGGCATTTACGTCTTCCAGTTTCACTTCTCCTTGGTTAGGAAACATAGAAAATAGCATTTCCATCTCCAGCAGCTGAAGCTGAAGGCTTTCTTTCACCGAAGCAGACATGTTGTCTCGTAATCAACCTGCCTGGAAACCTGGAAAGGCCCAGGGACACTGGGTTTGTTTAATGCCATCTGGCGTCCTCGAAATTTCCCGAAGGTCCCTTTACGTGGGAGCGATTCTAGAGGAACGTTTTGCAGCGGGAGCTAGGGGCACAGACCGGGTCGCGTGCCCTCTCCCAAGTCAGGAGACAGTATCCCCGAGAGACTCCAGTAAAATCCAGATTCCTAGCCCCCGCCCTCCAGATATAATCAACGAGTCACTTTCAACAGGTGGCCGGCAAACACCTGCAGCTTCTCCTCAGCTCAGTTCCGGGGCCCCGCTGGGGCTCGGGCGCCGGGGATGGGGTGGGGGTGGTCTACGGAGCGCGAGGGCCCCGGCCAACCCCAGCCTAACACCCACCAGTGCCACCGCGGCCCGGGCCCCGCAGACCTCGGGGCGGCCCGCCAGCCCCCCGGAGCGCCGGGCGTTCGGGCTCACCCGCCCAAGGTGGGGGCCTTGGGGGTCTTAGGGACAAACAAGTGAAATGACGTTGACGGGGGGGAGGGGACACGAGGCGTCCGGGCTCGGAAGCCTGCGAAGTGACCGCACCAGTGAGAGGGGCGCGGGGCCCAGGACCGCCCGTTTGAGGCCGCAGACCGGGAGACCGGGGCCAGCCCCGCCCCACCCCCGTCCCAAACCGCTGGACCCCCGCTTCCCTGCCGCAGGGCCTGCCTCCCCTCGCCCAGGATTGGAAGCGGAGGCTGCGTCTCCACAGGTGTAGTGCTCTGATGACTCGAGACCCCCGGCCCGGACCCCAGGGTCACCGCGGGAGCCTCACCCTTCCCGGTCATTCAGTGGACACAGCCCGAGAGCCCGCTCGGAGCCGCAGCCGCAGTTCCGCAGGCGCGAGCTGCGCGTGCCCGGCGGCGGGGCGGGGCCTGCAGACCCTCCCCTGCCGCGATTGGTTTGGAGGCGTGGCTCGGGCCAGGGGGCGTGGCGCCGTGCCGGAAACCGCGCGGGGCCACGTCCGCGCTCCGAGTCCGGGTGCGCCAGCCACTGGGCATCCCGCGCGGTGCGGCAAGGGGCGGCTCCGGCAGAGGTGAGCGGGCCCGGAGCGAGGCGCGCCCGGGGCTGGGCGGCGAGAAGTGGCGCTGCGGGCCGGGGAGCTTCCGTGGGAGCCGGCTGGGAGCGCTGGTCGGCTGCCGATGGACCGCGCGCTCGGGGCAGGTGGAGGAGCAGCCCGGGTGGCCTCGTCCGCGGTCCAGTGGGTGAGCGCCGGGGGGCGGGACGCGGGGTCGAGGGCATGGAGGTCCGAGGAGGTTCAGAGGCCCAGAGGCCGGGGGCTCGGAGCGTACCGGTATGCTAGGGAGAGCGCCCGCCCACCGCGAGAGGGGTGTTGGAGCCTGGGAGGCATCAGAGGGTGACTCACGGGACAGGGCTGCTGTGCACCCTGTGAATGAATGAATAATCGTGGCACATCAGGGACCGGTCAGTTTTGTGTTCATCCTTGTGAAAGAGATTTGCTCACTTTGGCTTGAACTAATTAGCTCGCTGGATGCTAGCTTTTTCCAACTGGACAAAAGCAAACATTTTCCACTTTTTTCTTTAATTTTTCTTAATTGAAACAGTGAGGGACAGTAAAGGAAATAGAACTGTATGGCTGGTGACTGTGGCACGGCTCCTCATCACCCAGGAAGTGACAGGGCGTGGGCCACTGAGAGTGTGCTGCTGGCTGCGGTGGGACCTCAGGGTCCACTTAATTGGAGTATCCCAGCAAAAGGAGTGTTAGTGGGCTAATTTTAACATTAGTTAGATGTTTAATAGTAAAGGTAAAAGGTGGCGTTCCTTGGGAAGAAGACACTACTGGTTTCAGAGCTTAATTTAGATAGGAATCCTGATTCTCTTTATGAAAATGGAAAAAGATTTGGGCAGGGGTGGGAAGGAACTGCTGCCCTTCTCCTTTTCCTTCTGGGAATATGTCTCTGCGATAGCCTGGGAGAAATAGCGAAAGAACCACAGAGACGTCCCAGACACTGAAGGGCATGTCCTCTGGGTCCACTCAAGAATCTGACTTCCCGGCCCAGAGCTGTGGCTCATGCCTGTGATCCCAGTGCTTCTGGAGGCAGGAGGACTGTTTGAGGCCTGGAGTTGGAAACCAGCCTGGAATACATAGTGGGATCCTGTCTCTATGGAGAAATAAAAATAAAAGAAGTAGCCGGCTATTGTGGTGTGAACCTGTAGTCCTCACTACTTGGAAAGCTGAGCAAGAATGATGGCTTGAGCTCAGGAGTTCAAGGTTAGAGTTGGAGCTATGATGACACCCCTGCACTGCAGCCTGGGTGACAGAGGGAGACCTTGTCACCTAAAAAAAAAAAAAAAAAAAAAAAAATTAAAAAAAGACTCTGACATTAGATCTCAGTCCATCACCAGCCACCAACATTAAGTTCAATTGATTTTCCCTTTTGTGCATAATGTGGTCTCTGATCCCATGGGAGTCTTTGAATATAGGTGTAACATCTTCATTTGAGTTGAGAGTGGACCATTTTAAGTTCACCCTGGGCCCAGGAAGAGTCCTGGAGCTACAATGGGGGATGAGTTGGAGGAGAATCTGATTTTTCTCCAGGTCTGCCCGGGAGTGGATGGTATAGGATGGGCAGGATCTTCTAGGCGATTTTCACCCACAGGACACATTCTGCTGCTCTCAAACACAGGGTTCTTTGGGGAGGTCAGAAGGAGGCTGACCTATTAGTTTTGGGGGGCAGTTTTTGAAACAAGTGGTTCTTGAAAGATTTCTTGTACGCATGAAACTAAATCTTTGTTAATCTCATAGCCATGGATCTGGGTGCCGTTACAAAGCAGTCAGCGCTGCACGCCAAGCCCAGCGGGCTCGTCCTTCAGTATGGGACCGCTGGGTTCCGAACCAAAGCCCAGCACCTGGATCACGTCATGTTCCGCATGGGATTATTAGCCGTCCTGAGGTCGAAACAGACAAGATCCACCATAGGAGTCATGGTGACGGCATCGCACAACCCCGAGGTGATTCTTTTAGTGCTCTCATAAAACAAACCACTGCTTACAAGGCCAAACCCTGCTGGCTGAGCAGTTTGACCCAAAGTCCAGATTTAATTCTAGGCGTGTGCCTTTTCTCACTTAGATGTGCCTTCAGATTTGAAACAGCTTTTTTAGAGTGGCCATTTAGCTCATGACTCACTAGAGGGTGTGGAGAGAATAAAATGAGGCTGCCATTTTTTGGAGAGTGTCCATATTGGGGAGATAACAGAGTGTCCTTCCAAGTTGGTTGAATTGAGACGGTTTCAGTGTTAAATTTATTTACCTCTTTTAATTTAGTAATGATTAAAGAGATTGGGGGTGGTGGGGGAAGGTAAACATTTGAAAAGACACATTTTGCAGTTTTTCACACAGGTTTTTTTATAGCTAGGCAATGGTTTCTTGTTCTGAATGAACAGCCAAATAGGCAGGTCCAAGGATCCAAAACTGCGCATTGGGAGAATATTGACGTGGCTGGATAGTTCTAAGACAATTAGGATTGCAAAGCATTTCTCTTGATACAATTATTTTTTCACCTTTATTGAGGTTGAAGTGACAAAAATTGTAGATATTCAAGTTGTATGCATGGTATGTGTATGCATTGTGAAATGATTACCACAAATATGGTAATTAACACATCCATCACTTCACAGTTTGTTTTTTTTTTTGTGGTGATACTATTTGAGATCCACACTCAACAAATTTGAAGTCTATATTATTAAAAAAATATGTATACACGTAAAAATAATGCATTATTAACTACAGTCACTGTCCTGTACATTAGTTTTCCAGAACTTACTCACCTCGGACTGCACATTTGTAGCCTTTGAGCAGTGTTTCCCTATTTCCCCTCACCTCCTAGCCTCGGGCAGCCACCACTCTACTCTCTGTCTCAGGGAGTTCCCCTCATGTAGATGCCACGTGAAAGTGAGCCTGCCGTGTTTGTGAGTGTGGGCTTATTTCACTGAACACCTACTCCGGTTCATCCTTCTTTAAAGGGGTGGATGATATTCTGTTGTGCGTGATGTAGTATGTCACATCTTCCTCTTCCATTCACCTTTGGGGGCACCCAGGTGGTTCTTAGCTTAGCCAACCTTCTGACACAGCACGACCTTTCTGAACTGCTGTCAGCCCCCGTGCAGGGTCTGAGTAACATGCTTCTCCTCGATTGTAGAGCATAAGATTCTTGCTGTTGTAGCTCAATCAGCACCAAGTTAAAGCTTGGCAGGTCACTGAAGGATTGTAATCCAGACAAGGACATTGCTTGTCCAACTTCTACAGGCGAGATCACTACAAATGTTCAGACGTCTAACTGCGACGGTGTGTTAGTTGCCATAATTGGTGGCTTGTCAGAAGAGCCCCACACATACTACTAATTCCAGACACTCCTCAAAGCCATTCTGAGCTGTTACTTTCAAGTTGACATTCACTCTGAACTATACTTAATTTTTCTCCAGAAATTTGAGCAGAACAGAGTTGGGAGTCACTTTTCAGTTTCCACTGGCTGACCAGCTAGCTGGACAGTATGTTGTGGGAACCCAGAGTTGTAGCAAGAAGGATTTCTGGGTCCCCTTATTCTGGCCCAGTTGTGCCCTGGTCAGTTTGTTGAGTGGATGCACAGACAGCAGCCTTTTGAACAAGCCAGTGTGGCCTGGTGGCTGTCAGGTTTAAGAATCAAATAGACTTGAAATTGAATGTTTGTGCTGACAATTTTTAGCTGTATTTTGGTAAGCAAAGTCACCAAACCTGTCTGAATCTCGTTTTTTCAAAGTAAGATTAGAGTAATGAGAGGATTAGTTAGATTCACACACGTGTCCCAAGGATGTAATGAGGTAATACATGGAAAGCACCCAGCCAAGGTCTGGCGTCGGCATTAGGTGATCACCATGGAAACTGCTCAGCCCTCACTGCCTGTGGCTGGAGGAGAAGCAGTGTGAGTCCCGCCTCCCCACTTCACCTGCCTGCGCTCTGACCACTCATGTTTGTCTCTCTTGGAAGGAGGACAATGGTGTAAAATTGGTCGACCCCCTGGGGGAGATGCTGGCTCCATCCTGGGAGGAACACGCCACCCGCCTGGCTAACGCAGAGGACCAGGACCTGCCAGGGGTGCTCGAGAGCATCAGCGTGGAAGAAGCAGTGCCCCTGCGGCAGGATGCCATTGTGGTCATCGGCAGAGACACTAGGTGACACTGAGAGTCCTGGGGAGGGAAGCAGATTTGGGAGGGTGAGATACGTGATCAGACGGGTCCTAGCACCCAAGACAAGTGCAAAGAAATAAATAAAGTGGGATTGCCTGAGGTGGCGCCTCTACCTCTGGCCTTTTCTCCCTTCCTAGTTTAGTGAGTTGTGGGAGCCAGGTCCCTTCTGCAGCTTGGGTGTTGAACTCCAATTTTAACACGTATGTGACTCCAGCAGGTTGTGTACCATTTTGGAGTTTCCATTCCCTGAGGTGTAATTCATTATTTTATCCATTTACTTTATAATCTGTGTTGTTAATGGTTTGACTGTATCATTTTTCCATATTGGAGTTCACTGGAAAACAATCTGTATTATTTTCCACATATTTGTCATATTTTGCAGCTTTTGGCTTTCTTTATGAAAATACAGTAGAACCTGTAAGTGACCCCCCCCAGGGGACAGCAACAAACTAGTTAATATACAGAGGTGGTCACCGTAAGGGTCGAGGCCTCCTGCTCTGAGAGGCACACGTGGTACGTGTCCAATCCATGAAAATCAGATGAACTTGAGGAGGTGGTTAGCTGTGGAGGTCCCACTGCTTATCTTTTTGTAAAATGTTAGATTTAATGTATCTTGAAACAACAGGATTTTTCTTTGCATGAGACGTAGTTTAACCAAAGATTCTCCCAAAAGGAAGTTTCTACCACATCTCCTACTGGCTCGGACTGGGCTGGTTCTTTAATCCTCTGTTCTGTCCCCAAAGCGTCATCCATGCACCCCCAATTGCTGGTCTGCAGACAGCAGACCCAGCTGGTGACTTATGTTGTGAAGTAAATTGTCCCACTGTGGGACCTTCCCACGTGCATTTGGATCTTACCTACTGGCTAATTTAAATGATGAAATATGTTTTTCTGCAAGGTACTTTTGTAATGATCAGCCTTACTTTTAGGTAGATAAGTGATTTGCTCTGACTCTATGGGGTGGGACTTCGGTTCTGCCTTCTGGGGTTTTAACACAGTGCTGTGCTCTCAGCCGTACGTAGGCTGCTATCATCAGTGCTGTCGGAAAGGTATGTGGGTGTGGATAGCTAGGGGTATCCTTCATGTCTATTTTCTAAATTCATTTAACAGGAGAATTTTCTGAGAAATAGATTGTGAATGGTGCTGGAAAATGCTTGTAACTTAGCAGCCTCTTCTCAGAGTTGGTGACCTCCGTGTAGGGACTGTGGACCTGTCATGTGAGGGGCACAGCATGGCTTCTGCATTTGCCTGCAGAACACAGCACTGCCGGTTGAGGCCGGGGTAGATTTTCTTTCTTCTCTTTTGCAGACCCAGTAGCGAGAAACTCTCTCAGTCTGTGAGAGATGGTGTGGCTGCCTTAGGAGGTCAAGTGCATGGTAAGCAGCTGTCTCAGTTGTAAAGTGATCCTGAAAAACTTTAAAATTACAAAAGGAATGTATATTCATTTAGGCAAGTTGGAAAATATAGATGAGCAAAAAATCTTTGAAAAATGAGCTCTTAGAGGCAAAATACTAACTTTTAGAATGATCTTCCAGGTCGTGGCTGGGCAGGCATGCTTTTATTTTACTGTGGGAGTCCTCTAGGAGCTGATGGAAGTGCTGATCTGATACAGCTTTCTCTACTTCAGTAAAGAAGTTCCTGAGATAAAAACCTATGAAGCTATTTGAAGATGTTCATTTTAGGGAACTTTTATCAGTTTTAGGTGTCCCCAGATAGCTCCTCCCCTGTGGAGTCTGCTGTTACCTGTCAGAGAGTGATGGGCAGCATCTTTGTTCTGCTTGGAACCAGTCTAAGTTTGGACAAGTGCTTCTTCCTGTTTATCAAACAGAGAATCAGAGGCAACTGAGCTCCCAGCTGTGCTGTGTGCCTGGAGGGCAGTGTCTCCAGGGTCCTGACCTGAGCTCTTTCTCATTAGAGCAAGGGTCCGCTCTTGACCTTGGAAACCACCTTGCCCTGCTCCCTTCTTCACTGTTAATCTGCCTCTCCTGAGAGCTGGCGCTGTGCACCTGTCCCTCACTTTCTGGTTGCTTTCCTACCTTCCGTAGGTGAGTCTTTGGCCTCCTCCCATGAGATAAATACCCCTCATTTGCATTCTGGTCACTGTTGTGCAGTGGGGTCTCTTCCTGGGCCCAGGAACCCCTGTGGAGTGTTTGGTTAGGTCTCGGAAGCCCTGGAGTTCCCTGCATAGCCAGCAGGTTGCTAGGGAGGACACATGGCTCTTGTCACATACTCACGGGGGAGTGTAACCAAAAAGAACTTCAGTAGTTTACTTTGTGCTTTAAAGTTTTCATTTTAGTTGATGTCTTTGTTGCTTGTGGCCCTGTTGAATCTCTCTGTAGACCTGTGCCTGCCTGGCTGCCCTTCCCTGCCCATGGCTGCCTGTGCCTGCCCGGCTTCCCTCCCTGCCCATGGCTGTCTCTAACGGCTCTTCCTCACTCTCTCCTGCATCCTGCACAGTTTCTGCATGGCCATCTCTGTCCCCCAGAAATGGTTCCCAAAGGACTTTGTGTGAGGGAGCAATGTGAGTGCATTCCACTCTGAGCCACTGACGCTGCCGTGCGGGGAAGGGAGGCCAGTCCCACCTGGGCAGTGGTCTGTGCGAGAGGGAGGTACCAAAAGAAAGGGAAAGACTGAAATTTATATTGGACTGAAAGGCTTCTGTGTGATGTGAGAGCAGAGCTTTGAAGAACGACGTCCAGGTTTCTGTGACAGATGCTGTGTGTTTTATTGAGTGTGTGCAAAGGTCACTGGGTGCAGGTCTGTTAGATGATTTTGATATGGTCACAAAAGCTTTTGTTTGCTCCAAACTTTAGCTTTTTGGAGAAATGGTTTGCTTCCCTTAAGCACTTGCATTAAACTAGCCCAAGCTCTTACCCACTGTTTTTGAGCCCTTTCCCCATGTGGTCCTCATACCAGAGCCAGACTTGCCTTTGTTGGTGCCGTTACTGTTGTGTTACCACAGGGCTTAAGAAATTGAAGTTACTGCTTTTTGCCGCCAGTCAAAGTTCCTTTTTTTTTTTTTTTTAGGATAAATAAAAACAACTGGGTTTATTTATTTACAGAGATAATAGTTACAAAGATGGTGGTAGAGGATTTTCAGGAAAGTGAAAAAAATAATGGAGTAAATTATGATATTAGCTAGAGATCTGTTATTACCCTGAGTTAAGGGAAGAAGAGATCCTGAGGTTGAGGAAGAAGAGACAGGTGGAGAGGCCACCCACACTCAGTGCAGTCTCAAGTCTGTCAGAGTCCCAAGTTCACTGATAGGTGCAGCCGCTGAGGATGTCCCCCTGGGGACCTCCCACTGAGTCCCTCCCACCAGGAACCTCTACCAGGCCCCACCCCCTGGGGACCTCCTACCGAGTCCCTCCCACCAGGAACCTCTACCAGGCCCCTCCCCCTGGGGACCTCCCACCGAGTCCCACCAGGAACCTCCACCAGGCCCCTCCCACCAAGTCCCTCCCACCAGGCCCCTCCCCCTGGGGACCTCCCACGGAGTCCCTCCCACCAGGTACCTCCTCCAGGCCCCTCCCCCGGGCCCCTACCCTTAGACCCCTCCTTCTGGGCCCCCTGGGTCTCTCCCCCTGGGCCCCTCCACGGGCTGCTGGTCCATCTCTGCTCTGCATTTTCTCTTATTTCTCACTCATGCTGCTCTTCTTGTGTTTTTAGCTGTGTTTGTAGCTGTTTGGGTGTTTTTGAGTTTTATGATGAAGGTATATTTCTGGGGCAGAGTTTAGTGTTCTCTTCTGCTGGGAACCTGGGGTGCTTCTCTGCTAGGTCCACTTCGAATAGTTCAGGACAGAGTCATTGTAGACCTATGGCCTGTCTGCCCCTGGTGACAGGCCTCTGGGGAGCTTGTCCCCTTTGCTGTGCTCAGGGCTGAGG